TTGTAGTCATTATAAGTGGAAATTATATTGTCCATTTTGATGTTGAGTGTTAATGTATTTGCCAGATATATAAATAAATAACAGATCCTCATTAGGGTTAATCAAACGGTTGTGGTTATGCTTCCTAAGTAACACTTGATTTTCTGCTTTAGTTGTATATAAATTTGGACAGGGTTGCACTTAGAGTCAAAAGCAATGTGATGTTGCATCAAAAAGCGTGTTGTCATATTTCTGACCCATTTAATCACTGAGCTGTAATCTGAGCGCAGTTCTCCCTCCACTCATGCATGGACGAGTAGAAGTGTGGATGAAGGAGGCGGAGGGATGGGCGGATGTATGTTTGACCTGGAATAGATTAACAAAATTGATCCAGATGTCGTCTCACTGGATTTAGGCCTATGGCTCACGGCAGGAGGCGGGTCCTCCTCAGCACGCTGCTGCATGACCATGAAGCAGCGGCAGCGAAAAGCTTAATACCCAAGTATTACCATTTGATGCTGCTTTACGCATCTACTACAACTGGGCAACTGCATGTGCTGAGGAAGATCAAAAGCACTAGAATAGACACTAATAGGCCTTTTTTGATGGGACTGTTTTATTATTTGATCAAAAGCACTAGAATAGACACTAATGGGCCTTTTTTGATGGGACTGTTTTATCAGCTGGTGTTTCCAAGGTCAAGAATCAACTTAACATTATGGTGTGATTTTATCTCTAAGTTTGTCTTCTAGCTAAACAAGCCAGTCTTCCCATGGTGTTTGTCAACCAGCACTTGTTAACACTCCCTACAGGCTAGAGATGGTGGGCTGCTTTTTGTAGCTTTACATTTCACTTACGTGCTCTGTTTTCTGACAGCTGTCTCCTTCTTCCCAGTCATGTAGTTTTTGTTTTGTTTTACGCTCACAACGCCTGGTTTAATCTAGATCACAGTTTCATGTTAACTGGATGATGTGTTTGTTTAGTGCAGGACGCTGTAGGACATCAGATTCCTCTTTGCTGCACTGCATTAGTTTAGACATTAGCGTAGCGTTTGCACCCTGTCACCTCAGGAAGATTTGAATCTGCTCATATGATCAAATGTCCATGTGATGCGTCCTGTCTGAGCTTCACAGGCTTTTCAACGTCAAGAAGGGCCAAGTGAATGATGGCACATTAGTTTCTGTGATCCGATGTGACGACTGGGAGCCGATGAGCAGTCAGTCATCATTTCTCATTAAGATGTGAATATGATAGAAGGGAAATCTTGACTGAGGCTATTGTACATGGTTGTTAACTCAAATTTATTTTGGGATATTGACTTATGACCTTTCATGTCCTTTTATCAGTTATGGAGTCAGATTATTAGTTTTATTGAGTATAATTAAGTGTTGTCATTGTACTTTTAATGTGCTGGATTTGTGTCTGAGGATTTTACCTCCTGATATGTAAATGCATATTGAGGTTTAATACAAACTTCAGATCAAACTCTCCCACCTGATAATTTACACAGTTTATGTTAATATGAGAACCCAGCAGAAATAATCTGTTTTTCTGCTGCAACCTTCAAATGTTTGTAGCAAAATATACAAACTTTTAAAACTTACTGTACTTGTATTTCTTAGAAGTGACTGACAACAGCTTTACAGTGTTTTCCACTGTGGACAAATGAACATGGTGCTGTCTGGAGCATTTTCTGAGCACTGTGCTTAGTTTTAATGTATTTAGCATTATTATTTTTCTGTGTTTAAACATGGAGTGCTGCATTTTGCCTTTGAAGACTAAAAAATAAAAATGAAAAACACCTATACATGCATGGTGAAAACCAGCTGATCAGTCATGAAAATGTAAGTAAATCACTGTGACCAATCTGGCTCACACATTTTGACTTAAAGAGACACAGGGGGTGAATAAGGACCTTAGTGGCTTTATTTCATGCCATGGCAGTGAGCCAATGTGCACAATAGCAGGAGGCTGGAACTGGCACACCAAGATGGAGCAAAGCCATTATTAATGATGATGTTACACCTGTGCCTTTCTTGCTATTATGTGCCACAGTCTCTGCTGTGAACAATGTCTGTAGAAAGTGGTCACGTGGCAGGGACACATGGTGTAGAGCAACCTTTGGCAGAACAACTGGCTTTACCAATGTACTTATGCTGATGCCCACTGAAATAAGAAATGTATGAACAAACCAGCTGGTCCCACCATATCTTTATTTCTTTCACTTTGACCACAATTTCTTTCTTAGCTTCTTCTATTGCCTGCACTCAAAACTCCAAAATGAGGTCAATTTAACAAATCTGTTTATTTCTACCCTCACAGAAACATTTGTGAAATAAGAACTTTCATTTGCAACCATGCACCAAAAAAATTAAACTGTTGTGACTTGAATTCAAAGGTCAGGAGGCTTTTATGAAAGAAATTTCAGTGTACCTTGATTTAGCTGTTTGTTTTCAAGACCCTGATCAGTTATCTTAGAAATGCTGCAGCCACCAAATAATGTTACAGCAGTTCTCCTCCAACTCCTGTGAGCAGTTGTTGAAACATTTGATTTAAAACAAAACCAGCAATTCAAATTCTAAGAGCAAAGTGTTTCAAAAATTAGAGGCTAACACATTTGTTAATGACTCTAATGTTGTCATTTAATTTAGACCCATGTTTGTATCATCATTATCTAAATCTGCTTCCTTGGCTCTATTGTAATCTGTGTCGAAACAATTACAGCTACTGTTACAATAATTCCAGTCAAATCCAGTGGGAACAATGCTTCATACAGCCTGTGCTGACCTATAGAAATGGTTATTTCTCTTGTTTAGACAAAGAACAGAGCCTCCCTCCAGTGCACATCTTCCTCAGTATTGTTGGCATTGACTTGTGATGAGAACGGCTCATTGCATGCATTAACATCATGCATGTATTAGCTGTGTAATGTTGCATAAATTCGCCCATGGAGGTTGTCTTGTGAGTCTTTATCCACAGTTAGCCCCCACAACAGGTGTACAGAACATAGTTTGTCTTGACAGAGAGTGAGACAGCTAATTGGACCGCTAGCAATTAGCAACTCTTCAGCTTCATTAGCATTAGCAGTAGCCTCATTATTGAAAATCATCAAGGACCTCTCTGAAAAACTCATCACATGGAGTATTTTTGCCCCAGTTTTTAGCTTTATCAACCACTGTTGTTGACTTAGTGGAAGAATGGGGTCCTCACAAAATGAATTATTAATAATGGTTTTAACTTACTTCTAATAATGTTTGAATTGATCTTATAAAAAGTTTCCTGAGTGTGATGCATTCATTTTTTCTTATTACATACATTTAGTTATGAAGGTAATTAGTGTGTATGTAATGTACTGCCCCCCCCCCCCCCCCCCACTTATATTTTTGCTGTAAATATATAACTCGCAGTGCCACCGCTATAAAAGATTAAAAGCCAGCAGCTCACTATAGTTGAATAAAACTCGAGCAGTAATATGCAGGATGTTGTGTAGTACCATGGGTTTTTTTATTTATGTTCAGTAGATGTAGGTGCCCATACTTGTATTGTTCACAGCTTCTACTTAGAGCCACAGTTATGTTGTAAGTACAGTATTGCTTGTAATATTAAAACTATGGCATAGTTAACCTTTAGAGGGTCATCTCACTCAAATAGCAAAAAACATATCTTCTCATTTATTATACCCCGGGTGGTAGCTAACCAATGCATTTTTAACACTACCCCAACAAAACTGAGCTCAGTAAAGAGAAAGAGAGATCAAATTTAAGTGAAAAACAGAAATGATTGAGTTAAGCAACAGAGATTTTTGGCCATTAGCCCCACTCCAGTCATATGAAGCATGCAGGAGACAGGATGGGTACCCCAGGGATTAGATGCTGCTGCTGGTGGTGGTGGAGTAGAGCCAGCAGGTGGTTGATCGAGAGCCTGGACAGTGTCACCAAACATCTGGAAGGAAGGGTAGGCGCAGGCAGAACTGTCTGTCAGATAGGGCGATGTCAGGACAGTGTGGGGGAAAAGCAGAAGTGAAGAAGAGGAACAGAATATACAGCCACTGAGGAACAGGAAGAATGTGAAAGAACATCTTCCTTATTGGAGTTTCACCCAAGCTTCATATAAATGGAAGTTGTGCTTACAGTATTTAACGAATTAAATTCAATATTGTCCCAATTATTTGGTATTATCTACAAATTTGGCTGTAGTTTAATTTCTTAAATGTTATGCCAAAAATAAAAAGTTTTATTCCTGGAGCAACTGACAGATAATCATTTCGCCTGTACTGTTCAGTGTTGGATCACACAAATCTCAATGACAGATGTCCCACAACTTCTGAAAATAAAACCGCAACAAAACTCAGAATCAGCTTTTTTTGGTCAAGTACATTTGCATATACAAGGAAGCTGACACTGATTTCTCATGGCCCTCAGTGTACGTACACACAGTACCAGTAAGAATCTTCAGGAAGATGGATATGCAGCAAAAACAAGGACGAAGCTCAGCAAGGATAAGTAAACATAAACACAGGACTATTACTGGATATCTTGTGACTGGAGAGAACTAGTCCTTCGCGTCTGTGTCTGTTGTCTAATAACAATCAGTGCAGTTTGCGTTAGACTTGAAGTGACAATATGAAACTGTTCTCTGATTTTTGCAGTGCTGGCTCCTCTTTATATTTATGTCAGAGCCCCCAAGGTGAATTTCTCTGAAGAGAAACTGGCTCCATGTGGAGCGTCACATGCAGGCTCGTAAAAAAACAGGCATGCAACACTTGACTTCAGGCTCCGCTCGCTGTCTGCTGTAGAGCTGAGTGACAGAGGTCTGACTGCAAGTGACAAAATGATTCACAGTGCAACATTTAAACAAGTGAGGTGCACTAAAAAGCTACACACTTGTGTACTTATATATTTGTGTCAGTCCACAGATATTTAGTGGGTCCTCAAATATTGTTTTGTAAAATAACATGACACTAAGTCACTAGTAACATGGAGTTAATAGGTTCTCTTTTGCTCTTGTTATGTGTTTTAAAGAGAGCAGCCCATCTTCAGCGCCAGAGCTCATGTCTTCCAGATTGACCCGGCAACCAAACGCAACTGGCTGCCGGCCAGCAAGCATGCCGTCACCGTGTCCTTCTTCTACGATGCCACCCGCAGCGTCTACCGAATCATCAGTGTGGGTGGGACTAAGGTGAGAGCTCAATATACGTACACATTTAGGAGACAGAAGGCAGGGAAAGGCTGGTGGCGGAAGTAGGGAAGTTGTTGGCTACGGCAAGGTCAGCATGAAGAGAGATGCACACAACATACACATACAGTATTATTATGTGGTAATATTTTCAGGGTGTTTAGGTTCTTGTTGGCTACATATTAGTCAGCATGAAGAGAGATGCACACAACATACACATACAGTATTATTATGTGGTAATATTTTCAGGGTGTTTTTATTTTCAGGTTGACAAAAAAAAAACAAGTTGGTCTGCTTAGATTCTTTTAAGAAGAAACGTTAAGAATGTGACTGACAAGTTGTTCTTTAAACCATATTTTGCCATCAGTTCATTTAGCAAACTTTAAAGTCTCATTGCAGTAACACCTGCCAGTGGGTCAGGTATATTAGGTAGCAAGTGAACATTCAGTCCTCATGGTTGATGTGTTGGAAGCAGGTAAAATGGGCAAGTGTAAGGATCTGAGCGGCTTTGACAAGGGTCAAACTGTGATGGTGACGACTGGGTCATCTCCCAGACTGCGTGACTTGTTAGCCGTTCTTGGTCTGCAGTGGTTAGTACCTACCAACAGTGGTCTAAGTGACCTAGTGACAGAGTCATTGATGCCCTAGGGTCACGCACAGATGATGAGGTTGAGCTACTGTAGATTAAACTTTTAAAATTTATTTGAACTTTTCAGAAGTTTAAAATTTGTTTGAGTCTTTGTTTAAATGGTTTAAAATGAGAAATACTGCACATCGGCCTCTATGAAGAGAAACATTCAGCAGCTGCAGTGGGGAGGCTGCTGCATTTGTCTAAATAATTCTCTCTAACTCGTCCTCACTGCCACAGTTTTCATTCTTTGTACATATGTTTTTCACTGAATAGTCGACACATCTCCACTCTTCCTGACAGTAGAACTATGGAAGCAAACAGATTCACAGAAAATGCACAATGAGCTGCAGAGTAACACGAGCACTGACCAACTGTCATACTGACTCCTGTGTACACAGTGGTGGTCATAATGTTATGGCTGATTGGTGTATATTACCATAGTCTTCTGACTTGCATCCTATCCAAAGATTTTACAACTAAAAAGAAATGGATCTCTTCTCCATTTGGACTGTCACTGGCCAAATGTGCACATTGTCAGTATGATATTTATCACGCACCCATATCGCTAATGCCACATCCACAACAGTGTTAAAGCACCTGAGAGTAGCAAGACTAACAGGATTTGTTGTTAGCACCAAACCCAAACTCAAAGAAAGCACTGTGCTTTGTTGTTATCGGCCAATTTATCACCGTGAGACTGGAGACTGTTGGAGAAGAGACTAAACAAATCTACATTTGGCAACAAATCCATCTTATGGGACTGCTCCCATGAGAACGTTACTGAACAGCTCACCACACAACAAGCCTTTTCACTCCCTTTTGTTTTCTGACCCGCTTGTTAGACAGTTTGTCTTTATGTGCACGCAGCAAACTCTCCAGTAGATCTCGATAGTGGTTATTTAACTGTGACTGACACAACTATGGAGGCTCCACATTCTGAGGGCTACATAATCTGGAGTTTTCTCCTTTTTCATCCTAAAAAAAAGCACGGGTCTCCAAACCAAGACCAGTACAAAGAAGAGTTGTCCTCTTTATAATCACACAAACATCAGCATATTTTCTGCTCAAGTACATACAAATGGAGAATAACAATGGGCTGTAATGAATTTGACATTTAACAGTGATGGGAATAATTATGTTCCTCCTCATTATCTTTGAATATTATGAATTTATTTCTCCTTAAACGGGCTGTTTTTAGCATATGATTTGATTAAATGTAGAAAAGTAGCACCCCAGTGAAGTAATTATGAGGTGGTGCACCATCATCACAGCTACCTTAGGCCTGGATTGACTTAACAATTCAAATTATGAAGAGATTTTCAAACTAAACATTTGGTTGTAATTTAGCAGTGCTAAAGTAAATATAAAATTTCACTTTATAAATCATATCCCTAGTAAAACAAAATGTTTATAATTATGACTTCCTATCAAACGTGTTCGTTTTTACAGCTAAATTTAATCAAACATAAATCAAAATATAACAAATCCAGTATTTTTTGTCCTATATCAGCTTTATTCTTGATTACTCCTCCACTTTCCCTGTACATTTTGATTGAACAGCCTCCAGTGTATTTCTGTGCTAGATCGTGATATTTATTAAAACAAAGCCCCATTTTTTTTCCTCCTGTGATCATTTATCTGCTTCTTTACTTATTTATTTCTTCGTTTAATCTCTTTTGTGTCAGGCCATCATCAACAGCACCATCACCCCTAACATGACCTTCACCAAAACGTCTCAGAAGTTTGGCCAGTGGGCAGACAGTCGGGCTAACACTGTGTATGGCCTGGGTTTCTCCACAGAGCAGCAGCTGCAGCAGGTAAACTGCACCCACACACACGTATACACACACTGTGGTAACATGCAAACAAAGTCCCCCAACGAGTCTTTTATTTATTAGATATTATACGGGGAGAACGGATGGACCGCAGAGCGATGTGAGGAGTGAATGTTCAGGTTTCACTTTGTGTTAAAACATCTTGTGGCAGTGAAATTGCAGCTGAATTATCCTCACACTAGCATTTACAAACTATCTTTATTACACAGACAGAAATACATTTTTTCTTTTCCTCATCATGACCCAGATTTCACAGGGCACGTCCACTTGTGGCATTTACTTATTTTGTTTATTTAGATTTCACATGTTTTAACTTTTTCACAGTAAACACAAGCTTTTACCTGGAGTGAATTACAAACATGTCAGAATGCAGAAAGGATTCAAGATGTCACAGCATCTGGACAAATTGAACAGATACTCTGTCTGACTTATTCTGGAGTGAAGCAGTATGACAGAGAAGTGGCCAAACAAAACAAAGCTACACCGTTTTTAAAAACGAGCAGCATTATAATCTCCATACAGGTACTGAAGGAAGCTGTGGAGGAACATGTGTTTCTTTCAGTGTTGGGTTTTCATGTTATGCTGGCATTATGTGACTTCTGTCTCTTCTCTATGTCCACCTGCAGTTTGCAGAGCAGTTTAAAGAGGTGAAGGATGCGGCTCGTCTGGCCAGAGAGAAATCCCAAGAGAGATTTGAACTGGCCAATCCTGCGCTCAGCATTGCAGCTCCACAGGTAAAGCACCGCTGTACATTCTTACACCTCCTGTGTGCCTGCCCACGCAAGTTTTCTTAGTTATTTTGGATGATTAGAGCATCTCCCTAGTAGGAAATGGAAACTACCTTATCCAGAAGAATCGAAGCTTTAAGGTTTCCATCATAACAAATCTGACAGAAATGCCAGTGAAGTCAGTCAATGTCAAGGTCTAGTCAGTCAAAATAGGTGAAGAATAAGGGAACATTTACTTATAAATACTGTAAATACATTTCTGCTTAGCAAATGTATGAATATTTGCAGCATAACAACAAACTACCTCCTGAAATCTTTCAAAAAAACCTCACTGTGACTAGAAAAGACTATTCACACAGGCTGTGGATAATCCTGAGTGACTGGGACATTGTTTCTATATGGACACATGCCATTGAGCCATTTAAATTGAGTCTTGACATGCATTGAAGGTTTTTTCAACTCTAATGTAAGTTGGTAATGGAAGGATTCTCAAATGGCAGAGGCCGCCATACTTAAAACCAAACCAATCTGCATGGAGGATAATTGTATTTGAACGTACCAAATTAAGAGTAATGATTAATTTATTTAAGGAGCAAATTTAGCTCTGATGGTTGCAACTGTGTGTAAAATGATTTAGAGACAACTGGAACTGTATTGTAAATATCATCTGAAAAGATTTCATTGCAAAGGTTTTCTTACCAAACTTGAAATATGATGAGCTGACGTGGCCTTTGATAAGGATGCACGACAGGTTTGGGTTGTAGCGACTGAGCTTGTGATCTGGAAGGGAAGTGATGGTCCATGTAACCTCCAGGCCAATACAGCAGAGCAGAACAGTAATATTACAGTTTACCACATACCTTCCTTTCTATTGAAAATATAGCTACAAACCACATACCTTCCTTTCTATTGAAAATGTATAGCAAGTCACAAGGGATTAGAAAGATCCCCATCTGGCCACTCCATTATTCCCCCACCGGTTCACTCCATTAAAAGATTTCATGCATGACAAATAGAGACGTAAGCCAGAAAGAGATGTAGCATGGACTGAAAGAAAGAAGAATTAAGGATCAAGAGAATGGACAGGAAAGAAGGGAGTTGGAGGTGAAGGAGGGAGGCTGAATCATTTATAATTGAAAGGAATTTGGCCACTGCTCCTGCAAGCACAATGACCAGCTTTAATCCTGCCAGTGCCTGTGATTTCTTGGTGGACTTGATAATTCCAGGGTAGAGCTAGAAAAGTGAAAGTTTGCCTGCAGTGAAAACTTTCTGCCCCTCACAAAAGCCACCCTGTGATGATAATTGCTGATAATTACTGAGGCAGTTATTCTGATGCTTACAACATCAGTAATAATAACACAATTAGCACACACCCTGTCTTGGAGGCTGTGACTATGATTTAATTGTACAAAGAAACAAACACGAAAGAAACACTGTCCCATCTGAACTTTTAGGAAGTTTCAGAGCTGCTAGTCTCGTTTATTAAGTACTTTTGTCAGCGTTGTTGTAGCAAAACAGTTCACTGCTTGTTTTTGCTTTTGTGTGTGTGTGTGTGTGTGTGTGTGTGTGTGTGTGTGTGTGCTGTGTCACTCAGCAGGTAAGAGAGACTGCAGAGTCACACTGTCAACGACTGCAGCTCTGAGACACTCAGATAAGAGTTGATGGTTTGTCTGGTCTATTTATTTTGTGAGGCTGAGAGAAAACAGTCTTGGTTAGAGCAAAACGGAGCATTAAATCCAAAAAGGTCAACAGCGCAGGTCCAGAGCAGGAACTGAACAATATTTCATCGAACTGAGCTGACATTTAATCAAAAACTTGGATTAAATGTTGTTTCCCACAATGCCAGGGGACTTGTGTCAGTTTTCTCACAGCACCGACTGCCAGAAGCAGCCCTAAAACTGGGAGGTCTTTGCCAAATTGATCAGTAACTTTTCCTTTGTCACTTTCCATCTTTAAATGTAAAGTATTGTTGTGTCTTTTGCAGTCATAGTTTTAGACTTTGGAATAGATCCCTCTGACAAATTGGTGAAATACTGTTATCCAGCTGCCCTACCTGCCTATAAACTGCAAATCTGCATTTAGTGGCTCATATTTAATAATATTCACACTTCAGATCATGCCTCAGTTTGTTAATGACTCTCTGTATTTGATACTTATTGACTGATTTACTTTCTTTAATATCTGCACAGAATTCCTTTTGTTTAAGGTACTGTAAGATTGGAAACATCAATTTTAAGAACCTAATGCCTGTGAATCAGTAAAAAACATAATTATATAATGAGCTGTATTCATAGTTTCAAGGAAACTCTGTTCAGCATGTTGTTTTTATTGAACAGTGACACTGTATCCACTAAACAAGGCGTGCACACAGTAAATGCCCCCTAACCAGGTACGTTTCTGTCACATGGTACACATCTTAACCACTGGGGCACCAGCAAATCTCAGGTCATTGTATTTGTGTAACACTTTGTTCTGTTAACAATGTTTTAAGTGTTGAAAATATAAATGTAACAACAGTAAAACAATACAGAGGAAAAAGTCACAAAATCAGGAAAAGACAAAGGAAACAAAAGGGAAAGGAGAAGTGTCAAACATTGACAAGAACAGATTTAACAGCAGATGATCATGTTTTGCATGTGTTCATATTGCGTTTCTAGTCTGTTGTCTTGTGTGAAATGAATTTTTTGCCCCTGCATGTCTCTGCTTGGTAGACGAGAGTTGCTGTAACAGCATGTCCAGTAGAAAACCGGTGTAGAATTGCATACTTGAGTTAAACTAACAACACAACAATGTAAAAATTGTTGATTTCAAATATTATACAATACTTGCATTCCAGCAAAAGTAAATAAAAATATACAGCCCACGCATACATGTATGTCTTTAAATAGGAGTTAAAATAGAAAACAATTATTTATTTGGATTATTTTCATTGTAGTAAGGAAATAAGGCTTTAAAGGGTTGAACTCATGCCCTCAGTGTGTCAGTATGTGCAGGGCAAACAGCAGTGTTGCACCCCGTGACGGCTATAGACCTTGGTTGGTGTTGTGCGAGGTCTCCTTTCTCTCTCACACACACAAAACACATGGATGTTAGCTGATTAGTCAGAACACACACAGATACACACTTTCTCTCTGAGTCACACAAATGGAAGTACAAGGTGAGCAGTGAACTGATTAATTGATCAGTCATTGATTTTTATGTCAGGTAGTAAACACCGAGGTGTTTCTCTCTCATCTGACTGTTTCATGTCTGCTGCACATTGTAAAACACTTTAATGTTGACTGTCTAAATCGGTGTAATATAGAAATAATACCAGTCAAAGCTGATACAGAGAGTGAGCACACAATGGTATTGTATGTATGAACTACAGCCAAGTATCGATGGAGTTCAAAGTGGCTGTAATCTAAGTTAAGAGCCCCAATGAGACTAATATGGACTTGTTTGTGCTTTCTACATGCACCTGGGCTTACTGTGAATGAGAACAGTTAAAACAAAGCTAAAAAATACCAGTCAAACATCAAACAGTAGAAGAAGAAGAATGGTGCAATTTTGTTTCTAGATATGTAAACATTTTTGATAAAATGACAAACGGAGAGAAGATGTTGGTTTATGCAATGCTAGAGAGAAGCTGCACTGCCACGTATTGTTGCATTTTCTCATAGGTTTCTGTGCAGATATTACAGAGCACATATTCTGCCTGTGAAATGTGGATGGCAGCAGGGGAGCAGCAGGCAGTAAAGCTTCAGCTTTCAGGCTTATTTGCACAGCTCAGAGATAAGATGAAAGAGGAGATGGTGAAGTCAGTGAGATAAACACGAAGAGTGATAAACAGCACTACAGCGAGCGTTGTCGGACTGACGAGCGCAAAGATAAACCAGTTTATGCAAGAAGAAACAATTTTTAGTAGCTGCATTTTTTAATTATTACTTTTTTAATTAGCAGTAGGGTTAGTTTAAAACACAAGCACTCAAACATAGCTTAAATATTTTCAAAATTAAAGAGGATAAATATATTGAAATACTAGAATATAGTGAAGAGATGCACGTATCAGGTCATTACAGTTGTTTTCAGTATCTAATCTGGCTCTGCTTAAATAATTCACAACTGTGGAGAGTTAGATCAGATCGATGCTACATATTTACCTGGATGCCTAAGGGACGACCCACTCTACCTCCTACACACATTGGACATGATGTGTGGTGTCATTGAAGGAGTTGTTGTCAGACAGTAAAAGGTCAGGAACCACAGAGTGAAGGCAGAAAAAAAAAATCTAAAACAATACAGAAGAAATGTGTACTGTATACACAGATAAAGTAACATCTCTGTCCATACATCACTGTAAGCACAGTAGGCTACAGTAGGATGCCCTTCCTACCTCTGACAAGTGACAGTTATCATGTGTTTGCACCTTTCTGAATGCAGAGGCCAACAGAGAAGCAAATAGATACACCATCTATCAATATTTATAAGCCACAGACTTGGCATTAAAACCAGCTGAAAAGAAGTTTGTGTGTACATGTTTTTTCTGTGGTTTCAGTTTGAAACCATCAGTGTGAGGACATTTTGGCCGATCCTCATAAGTTCAGAGGGCTGTTTTTGGTTTTAGGGTTAGATGTTGGGGTACAGGTTGGAGTAAAGCATTTAGTTGTGATGGTTGAGAGCTTGAAAACATAGGTTAGCGAGTGTCCTCACATAGCTGTAGAAATGTCTGTGTGTATGAAGGACGGATACATCAACGGGTGCCTGAGCACACACCTCTGATGCATGGACGCATGAATAAATAAAGGAGGTTTGCTTTGTGATCTCAGTGAAGCATAGTGTGTAGAAACGGGGGCTTTATAAAGCCAGGGGAGAAAGTGGAGTGATGCTTGGATAAATAAGTAAACGGAGTAGATGTACTTTAGATGAACAGTGGTGCAGAGATGTCAGGAAAGCTGTTTAATATTTAAAGTATCTAGGATCCCATTGATTATCCAGCTAGCCTCCTATCAGGACTCCGGCAAGTTTCTGAGTTGCTGAGTTTGGGGCTTGTGGTGACACAACACACACATCCACATTTCTTCTACAGACTGTATACATGTGCATTGTTTTTCTTGTATAGTTTCTGTATTGCATTTTACTTTATTATATAGTGAAAAACGTGTGTTTATTCAGTCTCCATCTTTGTTGCTTGCTAAGCGCTCACAGCTGTTGTGGGTGGGACTCTGACCTCTTCTTCCTCCTCTTCTTCTCTGTTGATTCACTTTGTTTTCTTTGTCTGTTCAGCCTTCAGCTGCAGTCTGTGCTTCTGCTAATTACCCTATCCTTCTGTTAACTCCACAGAAACCACAGACAGGAAATGAAGTTTTCTTTTTGTGCAGAAACAAATATCAAGTGTTTCAAACAGTGAATCATGATGACCCACAAAATAACAGTGCTGAATGCCTGGTTTTAATCATCTATTTTTTCTCTTCCCTTTGTGTTCTCCTGATGCATCATGGGACATATTCATCTCTCAGCTCTCCCAGGTACTTGAAAACAAACACTCCCCCCCCACACTTAAAAGTAACACAAACCATCTTCTTTTGTCTAAGGTGCTGCGGTGTTCACTGGCTTACTCTTGCATACACTGCCATGCTCAATGTTTCATCTGGAGTCTGATTAAAGTTGATTTCAGAACAAATTTAGCCACCGAACACAGCTGGTGTTTGCTATAAAAAGATACTTTAAAATTACAGCAACTTGCAGCTTAATTCATCAGCCAATTTGAGAAAATCCAGAATATATGCTACATTTATATTTTCCCCTGAGAGTAGAAATCACACAGATATAGCATTTTAAAGTGGGAATCCCTTGCCAGTCCTTGGAACTCTGGCTGATTTAATAATTGCTTTTTTCGGGCTTATGCTCTGGTGCCTCCTTTTCCCACTCGGGTTATTAGCACACAATGTATGGGGAAAATCCACAGTATCCATCCATAAGGACAGAGAGCTACTGAGCTATAGATAATAAACCATTGTCCTCAAGGGAATATGGCCAGTTTTGCTCAAATTATTAATACAGTAGTCTTCTACAGTAAGTGCAGGGTTGTAATGCTTCACTGAGGCACTTTGTCGCTGACAAACTCAGGCTTAGGTTTCTATGCAGAAAGAAGACAACAGAAGGTGATGGGGTGCTACGGCATGTACCTATACTGATTCATCATTTAAAAAGGAAACCGATTAGACTTTTAGTCCATAACCTCAAACTCGAGTTCACAAAACTGTGTGAAAGAAAGCTTGAACCAATTTCTGGGCAGCAGGGAAGGAAAATACCAAAGCAGACTGGTTAGACTCGACTGTGCTAGGGTGGAGTCAAGCCATCCGCCTGCTGAAACTGTAATTTTTAAAACCTTTATTTTATACTTAAAGATACTCCAAATGAGGTAATACAAAATTTAAGAAAAGGCAAAGCCGCCCCCAGACTTTTATGTTGCAGATACAGCAGTTTGTTTATACAAAAGATATGAAAGAATATGAAGGCATGACTTACAAATCTCTAGGCTACCACATTTGTTCACAGCAGTGATTTAATGTCACACCAGGTCACTCTGGAAAAAGATTTTAACTTCAATGATGCTGTTTTTTTTTTTTAATCTCCAACTGTGCTGTAATAACCAGTTTTGTTTGTAGCCTAGTTTCTACACCAGAACACAAGTTTCTCGCTTGAAGATCTTCTAGGTAACTGCTGAACTAACAGCATTAGCAAGCAAGTAGTAGTTACTGCTTACTACTATTAGTAATTTGATGAGGTCTACTTAGTTCTGCTTGTAGACAATCTGTAACAAAAACAGGCAGATCACTAACCAGTTATTTAGTTCCCAGCAACAAAAACTGACACCGATTGCTATGTGTATAATTGTATTTGGAAATGCTGCAGAAGTATTTTGCTACCAAGTGGAACCTGCACTGTTTGTGATGTGCGCTATACGTAACAACTCGACAGACACACACGTTACAGCATGATACCAGCACGTGCATAATGCTTACACTTGGGCACACACAAACCCCAGATGAAGTCCTGGATCGAGGAACTGTACTCCAGTCATTTCCTCTTGAATCCAAATCCAATCAGATCTCTAAGGCTGCATGAAGAGAGGACAGCTGTGCTCCACACGTGGCTGCTCGCTCTGCATGGCGCCTGTTTGCAGGAGCCCAGATGGCACTTACAGTACGAAGCGCTGACAGGTTGACTTCTGTCCTGTCTTGCTGCTGTGTCCATTTTGTTCTGATGCAGGGTCTGAATAGAGAGACACTCAACAGCTCGAGCCTGGCGTTTGAGCCAAAACTGATTTAAGTCTGCTAATCTAGTATCACCAGTGTAACACCCACACCCGATAATCTTTGTATATGGGTATGTTGGCATGTTTCATTTAAAACAACTAGCTCAGAATAAAATGAAATGATAAAATAAAAGTGAAAACACAAATGCTTTTGTTCTTTATTGGGCATTTACTGTACAACCGCAACTGTACAATAGAGCTCATGTCCTGTTTGTGTCGTCTGTGGGGTGTTGGTATAGGAGTTGTCGGAGGAGCATCATTCGCCACCGCTGCTGACTGTTAATGGGCCGGGTGAGGAAAAGCTGTTTCGCAGTAGGAGTGCCGAAGTGGAGCTGACAATAGAGAAGGAGAGGGTCAAGAAGATGTTGTCTGAAGGGTAATAATGATATATATGTGTTTTTGTCTTCCAACAACAAATGTACATGTTGTATGCACCAGGCTTATTGCCAGGGGAAAAAAGGTGTAATAGGCTTAATCACTTAAATACCAGCAATGTTAAACACTTCTTGTCTATAATGTTCATTTGTTCAACGCTTATTTTTCTTTGCACGGGGGACTCTGTATCATCTTATTGACAGCAAGAGCTCAAAATAATGATTCAGAGGGTGGCGTGAGTCCTCTAATATTCTGTCTGTCATTCATGCGACCGCTTTGTCATGGTGATGAGCTAGTGGTGGTGGTTTGCCTGATATTGCACTACCAAGTTCGACTGTTCTAGAGAGTTTGGCCTTGTTTTTCCTCAGCAAAATGTTTAAACCAGGACACGATGTTGAAGAACACTGCTGCACTCTGTTTAAGATGTGTTGACTAATTTCAGAGCTCCTCAGCTTGCGCAACAAGAATGGTCTGTGTTTTTGTAAATGTAGTCCTCCTGCTCAGAAAATGTGAAGGCTTGGTCCAGAATAGTCCCAGGGTATTTAAAGAAGGTCACTTGCTCCACCTCCTGGTTGTTAATCATCACAGGCTTGAGCGAATGGTTTGGCAGCATGTTCTGTTCTGTTTGAAGGGTGTTTACCTCTGGTAAGGCAACACACAGTTCTCTACCTTTGTTGTTTTAACACTGAAGTAATTATAAAATATTAATCTGCATCAAAATGCTTTATTTTAGAATTGTTTCCGCACAGGGAGTGAATCCAAAGTCGGCTATTAGCTATTGCACTTCCACAAATATGGAAGAACTCACAAGACACAAGTTAAAGGGACACTCCACTAATTTTGCAAATGATGATCAGCTTATCGTGGCACGCTTTACTCTGCCTTTTTAATGGAAGTTTGAGAAAATAACCCCAGTTTCTTGGACTTAAAGACTACACATTTAAAACAAACAGCTTGCTTTACAAACTGGTGTCTGTGTGTTTGAAAGATGTCAGTATTTAAAAAAAAGATGGATGAACTCTCTGTGAATTTTGGAGTAAAACTAGATCGGTTGTGTGTACAGTACAGAGTGATGGAAAATATTCAGTGCTGTGATTCTTCCGGGCCTGGAGTGGATACTTCACATCAAGAGTATTTGAAGCTAGACTCATACTAGCGAGAAAAAGTCAGGAAAACAAACTGCGTCATTAACGGCAGTGAGTGCGTGCTAACATTGAAAGAAAAAAACTCACTCGTGCTCCTTTTACCTCCGCTATTGTTAGAAAGCATCACAGGCTAATGAGTAAGAAAGGCTCATATTCAATTCTTAAGAAATGTGACAGTTTTGAATTACTAAAAACAGCAACGAGTCAGTGTAAAAGCATTTTCCCAGACAGCAAAAAGTGTGGTTTGCCTGGAAACTACGCAACAGGAACTCTCTGGGTCTGCAGTGGTGTGCTTGTCGTATTTTAGAGTACACAGAAAACCAGGCTGTTGTAAAACATTCTTTTGGACTTGCCTGAGTTATGCCCCAAGGTCTGACATTGCTGTTTTCAACGTCTGTGTGTGCATGTGTGTGTCCATGACTTATGACCAGCAAGGTCTCAATGCTGCTGAATTTTGAAGCTTATATTTATCGCCATTATGGTGGCCATTATTGCTCACTCAACCTTTCATTTAAGACCAAGAAGCAGAAAAACACTCATCTTCAGCTGTTTTACAACCTATTAGCGCAACAATTTTATTTTATGATTGTTATGAGTCTATGCAGGCTTTTTTCTCCTGTTGCTATGGTGAGTAATTTTATGGTTGCCATGCTGTTATTGTGGTTGTCATGGCAATGACTCAGCTTCCTAATCTCTACCTTTTCATCTGAAAGCTTTCTGTTGTTTTGAATATCCCCACTGACTCCTTACCTTCACCAGCACACAGGATCCCACTTTTAATAACAGAGAACGCATTATTTTTTACATAGTACCAGACTGTGTAGTTTTCTACCAAAAGTGTATATTGTTGTGTTCTTTTGTTATACATTACAAGCCAAATTGTTATGAAAAATCCACATATAAACACATGAAAGAACTAATTTTATTGAGCATTGACATATGTGTGTGTGTGTGTGTGTGTGTGTGTGTGTGTATGTATAATGAAAAATTCAGCCAAAATATCGTAAATGCGGCAGCTGTCATCTTGCATTTTTGCAGCTAGATTCTGCACAGTAGTGACCAGAAGTGAAGTGACAGCATCAGAAAAGCCAATTAAAGCTGTCAAATCAACTGAAATACACCTATTTTTATATAATCAAATAGCTTATTAAAACCAAACTTACCGGATACAAAACCACTTGTACACACATCTACCCAAAACTGCCAAAGTCACCTCTGGAAAAACTTTATTTGATTTGTACTTTGAGTTTTTAGCGTGGCTAATGTGCCATCCACTAACATATAGGAGGCAGGATTTATGACCTATAATGAAACCAGCCACCAGGGGGCGATCGAGTCTTAGTGGCTTCTCTTGGGAGCAGCCTGTCCAACGTTTTTACTGTCGATGATATTGACTGAGGTGATGCATTATTTTGAGGCAACTTCTAGCATGACTTTGCTATGACAGTGGTAATTATTACACTAACTCTGGGCTATTTCTATTTTAACACTAAAGTAGAATATTGTCAACCTCAGACAAGAGCATTTGTAGCTATTAGTACCACTTATGTAGGATTGTTTTGTAAGCTCAAAGTCCCAAACACATGAATTGCAAAAAAAGAGAGAGAAATAAATGATAATAGAAAAAATAGAAGAGATAATACAAAAGTCACATTATGGTACAAGTTGAACTTTTGCTAGTTTCAAACCTCACTGAGTGTTGGAATCCACTGGCTCTTTAAAATATAAGCAGCATCCATCAACTTTTTCCAAACAGCTGGTACAACACAATACAAATGTTTCACTTCATTATACATCATTTGTATCTGTTATATCATTATCTTATCAACTCTGTTGTTCCCCACAGCTCTACAGTGGTGTAGCATCTTTCAGCTTATTGTTTTGATTTTACAAAAATGAGAGCCCAACTGCTAGAGCTAGATATTTCCCTCAGAAGCTGGAGGAAACAGGCCAGAGCTAAAAGGAGAATGAGTCTTGGATTTAGCTATGTTGCATGGAAAAACACTCTAAATGAATGTTGCTGTTGTTCTGTGTTTACCTGATGTGTTTAGCATTATAACTTCATACAGGGATAACTGTTTTATTAACAGGTTATTCTCTTGCCCAAAGTGGCCAAAAATGAATATATTACTGCTTTAAGTTAAGCCTGTATCTTTGTGTGACTTCTCCTCAGATCCATGTGTGAGATAAACCTGGAGGCTGAGCTCTTCACCCTGCAGGACAGTAATGCCAAGCTGGTGGCAGCACTGCAGGAAGCCAACACCAGTGTTGCACAGTGGAAGAAGCAGCTGGCTGAATACGAGGAGGAGACCGATCGCCTCCGAGACCAGGTGACCATGCAAACAATACAAGAAAACAACACACTGTGATGCAGAACCTCTGCAGCTTAAAACAATTTAGTGTAATTTATGTTTTGTAGAGACTGAGACTGAGATTTTACTGACTCAGTTCAAATTTGTGTTTAAAGTTTGTATTAAATTTAATATAAGAACACAAGATAAATTTAAAAAAAAATGTTTTTGGAGCAACTGTAAACCAACTATCAGGGTTATAATTTTACATCACATCATCAAACCCTTACATGTGTGCATATTGTATAGGTACCTGTATGTTTGAAATGTCAAGAAATTTTATTCATATTAATTTTATTTAACCTTTGTTTAACCAGGGCAAGAATCCCTTGAGATCTGAGACCTGCTTTACAAGGGTGCCCTGGCAAGACAGCGGCATTAAAGTTACAGATAACATACAATAAACAAGGAGTAAACAAAGAATTTCAGTACATACTGAAATACTGAGACATACAACAACATATAAAACACAAAAGAGAAAGGAAGAACACTGCTAAAATCAAAGTAGAAATGGTGTATGATTTTGTTCCTCCTTGCACTATGTAAACACTCATAGATTGTAAATAGATGTGAAATGTTTATTTTAATCATATATAGATAGTAACACGGGTTGCTCCAAACCGAAGATGCATTTTTTTCCTTGGTATATTTATGTTGACAGGCTCCCGTGATAATCGCAGGGCCAGAACGCAGACATTTCATCTTTAATTTAGGAAGAGAAAATTATGCCGTTGGTCAAGCATAACGAGGCTTCCCCAGCGTGACACATTTAAGTGCTGCCGCATCCAGACTACAATGAAACTGTTATCACCAGTGACAGAAAACTGGCCCTTTATTTTTATCCTGCGCTGTGGTTTCATCTGTCTCTAGGAGTCCAGGTGAAGGTTACCTCCCAAAATACACACATTCTTCAACACACACGTTGTTTTCATTCCTCATGGGGACTTTACACTGACTTGCTTTCATTTCCTGACGACTTATCCTGACCTTAACCATAACCATCACATGCCCAGCCCTTGCCCTTGCCTATGACCTTAAACCAGTGATTTACACGACTGGGGACCAGCATGGGGTCCCCACGAGTTCCCACAGTGTGAGTCTGTAAACAGGTTACAATCCCCGCAGTGTGAGTACTACAAGGCATGTGCGTGCGTGCACACACACTCACACATACACTGTAGCACAGTTGACCAGGTGGCTGGAAGTAGAGCAGGCCTCCAGGGTTTGGCAGTGGGGTGTTTAACACAAGGGCAGGGATTTCTTTTTTTTTTTTGGGACACCCAATACTGCCAACCCCCTTCCCCCCTCTCTGCCCCAGTTAGAGGGAGAAGATAAATCACTGTAGAAGCAGAAAGAGAGAGGTTGGCTGGCTTTTTCTTCCTCGCCACGCTGTCAGCTTTAGCCATGTTTGTGTTATCCACCATAGCTCCGGGTTTATTTTTTGATGCCAACATGAGCTCAGAAAGAAAGACATTCACAATTTAACTCTGTGTAAACTAATGACTCATAAATTGATACATCTGATTTATTATTAAGTACTGTGTATATATTATTGTGTCTCCAGGTGGCAGAACTGGAGGCCCAGTTGGGGCACCCTGCTGCTGGTCAGATTAGTAGAGAGGAGCTGCGTCGGTCACTAGAGGAGCTGGAAGCCCTGCTAAATGCCAAAGACCAGGCAAGGCACCCAGATCACTCCCTGCCTCCACACAAGTCCAAAATTATTACCACCTTAAAGGGAAGATATGTATTAACTACTAGAGTGAGATAAGTGCAAGTGTCTAAATCATCTTTATGATCTTTCTGGTTCAGTAACCTTGCATTTATCTTGTCCAAATAATTACTTGACCAAATGTTTAAGTGCAAGTGGACATAAACAAAAGAGAAGAATGTGTTTTATTGTGCCCTTCTCATACTCGGTTTATCTTAGAGACACAGTGTTTTTTTCTGAAGGGAGCTAACAAGTACATAAAAGTTAATGTTGAGACTTGAGACAAGATGCACATGTCCAGAGCTGCCGCCTATATGTTAACTGAAACTGGGACTTAACACCAAGTAACAACAAACAAACAAAGAATGGGCAGATTAATGTGGCTGGTCACTGCTCATCAGAAGTGTTCAGCTTTGGGGCCAGGGATACCTGCAGAGAGGTACGGGGGGGAGCGAGAAAGCACAAACTATGTACTGGTGGCATACAGATGCATGGAGAGTAAGGAGAGGAGGGGAGAGAAGCTCAGCATGATGGCGCGGTGGGTATAAGGAAGGCAATGTGAGTTTTTTTTTTGTTTTGTTTTGTTTTGTTTTTTTTTTAACTGTACGATACTGTGTTTCAGGAAATTCGCAATCTACAGAGCAAGAAACCAGATGTGGGTGAGCTAGAGAAGGAGAGAGAGGACGCCATTCAGAGACTCCAGGTAAACTGACAAGCAGCTGAGCGTGTGGTTTCTCTTTTCTGTGAAAGTTGTACTTGAGTACTCAGCTTTGTTCTGCTATACAAGTCCATTTGTGTTACTTGGAAATGGCACATATGTATGATAAGCTTTAAAAAAACAGCCACATATGTATTACAGGGTTAAAGGGTCTTTTTTTTTTATCAGATTACCATTATCTGCACTAAAGATGTGAATTTTTGCAAGAGACCTGGTTGGTGCTACTGATGGGACTAGTATGAATCTGTGAAGTGTGAAGATAATGGGATTTGAAGATAATGGGATTTTTTTTCCCAGTATTTTTCAGCAGATTAACATAATTATGATGAATTTATACTACACAATTTGGTTCTCCTCCCATACTTGTAATTGTTTAATAACCTTGGCGAGCTTGCATTACATCTGAAAAGTAGGGAAACTACTTCACTAACAGGAAAACATCCTATTTTCAATGTGCACAGAGAACTTTTTGCCATTGTTGCTTGCATTTCACTTGCTAAGAGGTCACCAGTTCAGTCTTTTGAGGCTTTTCTTTTAGTATTGTCTAATATTAGGGATTTTTACTCTGCAGGTATTAATACCAGCAGTGGTTATGGTCTATTTTACTGTTACATGTTTTCTAGCCTTCACCGTGTTACTTTATTTTTAGGTTTTCCCTTCATGTTAAGGTCCTAGATCATTTAAAATATTATTAGAAACTTCCTTTTAAGAGGAAAGGCCAGTCCTAGTTTTGCAGTGTGCTGCTGTTCTCCAAGCAGATAGGACCACACAGACAACTAATGGAAAATCAAAGTACTTGATACTGTACTTATAATAGAGACAGCACAGTTCAGAACAGCAGCAGTGGAGCAGAGAATCAGTAGAGCTGAACGGAGGACTTCAAGGAGAAAACAAATTGTACTGAGTTTCCATGTTAATGCGAGAAATTATACCTGATGCATATTGCATAGGCTTTATTAGGTCCTCTGTCATTTTAATAGTGGTGTCAGTTGTGAGTTATGTATGTTCATATTTGACCTTTGCCAGTCTTCATTACATAATATATTCATTGGTGCATTTGGCATACACAATAACCTTGTAAAGTACAAAAATGCACATTTAAATTTGCAGCATAAACAGTTTAAAGCAAATAATCCCGATAGGAAATTCTTACTAAACTTTATTGCAATCATTAGTCACAAAAAAATGGCAAATTTACAAATATTAAAGTGCCTTTAAGCTCGGTGCTTTACTTGTACTTGCTCCAAAGCTGCTGCTGCTGTTCTGAAGGGGCAGGATTTAACATTTGTGCAAGGCATCCTAATTTGGGTAAAAATCGTTTTGAACAGAATTGTTTGCCCTAATTTTAGATGGAAAATCATTCAGGTAAAGGAAAAGTAATGTACACACATGCAATATTGCCATTCTTCTGTTCTATTGTATCGTTTGTTATCAGGGCATAT